CTGTTCAGTACTTACTGGGCAACCAACCCCTCCATTTACGCAAACAGGTACCAATCCACCTCATCGTGATTCACTCCAACAGTGCTCAGCAGTGCAGGTGCAAGCAAAAGGACAAACAGGTCAGGAGAGTGACTTAAAACCTGGACCACGGATTCCACATGGATAAGAGGGAACGAAGACAGGAAGGAACTAAGGTTGAGTTTCAGTGAGAACAAATGCGAGGTGGAGGGTGGGATGGATGAGAGAGCGTGGTCAAGGAAGGAATTTCAGACTTACTGATCTGAGCTGTGAGTAGATAAGGTCTACGAAGTGGGGAGCTGAGGGGAACTGGTGAGAAGATCACTGGTGATGAAGAGCAGTCAAGAAAGGAAGTGGATGATCCCATGAAGCTGGGGCAGGGTAGAGGACGATGAGGCAGTCATCAGTGATAAGTAGGAATAACGAGGAGATCAGCAGGTATAAGAGTCACCTGCTGGGGTACAGGGGGTGCAAGGATGGTTATACACAGGACTGAGGCTCCATAGAGTAGCGGGTGGACGGGAAGGTGGAAAAGCAAAGATCCAGCACAGCCTTGCCTGGCGTGGGCCCCCAGCCCAGCTTCTGAATAGCTTTCCATCTCTGTAATGATGAAGCTAATCTACCTAAATTAGGTAGTTGTGCCCATTTTTTATCTGAAAGATGTAATCCAATCTTTCCCGTGCATTTATATAAAATAAACACTAGTAGAAAAACTCAGGTTTTCCAAGATAAAATCTTCAGTGACTGGGCATTCATTGTAGAATCTTCAGACGTTCACAAATTTATCCTACATGTCTAAAGAGTGCAACTAGATTAACATTTCTATTAGATTTTCTCAAAAGCCATGTTTTTTGTTTTTTTTTTTTTACTATACCTTTTATCAACTGGGAACAACGATCTGCCTCAAAACTGGAGATCTTTTTCCTTATCATTTAGATTGAAGATACAGGGATCTGGTAAATTTCTACTATCCCCTCATCTTCCAGCATTCGTCACTGACTCCACCTATGAACTCACTTACGACACAGTCTTTATGTTAATGAAGAAGTATTTCCTGGAGAAATGTGACTCTCCCAGCCCTCTGAACAGGACTTGTTCAGGGATCCTCTCCTCTGGGAAGATGGCGTGATAACACACCGCCATTCCCCAGCCCCTCGGGTGGATGCCCCTTGTCCTGCCAGAGCATTCCATAGAAGCTCTCTCTCTGTATCTTACTACATTTGACTGTCAACCAAAACAAGCTTTATGACCCTGGACAAGTGCTTAACCTCTCTCTGCCCTAATTTATCTACATATAAAAGACAGAAAATAGAGTCACGTGGTCGCTGGCGGGCGGGGCGGGGGGTGGAGAGAATGGCGGCTCCGCGAGAGAGCAGGGCTTCGGGGGAGGAGGGAGCAAGGAGGAAGGTTTATGACCTTCTAATTCCCTGACGGCTCAGACGGTAAAGCGTCTGCCCGCAATGAGGGAGACCCGGGTTCGATCCCTGGGTCAGGAAGATCCCCTGGAGAAGGAAATGGCAATCCACTCCAGTACTCTTGCTTAGAAAATTCCATGGATGGAGGAGCCTGGCGGGCTACAGTTCATGGGGTCGCAGAGTCAGACACAATGCAGTGATTTCACTCAGAGTGAGGTGAAACAAACAGAGAAGAGAGGTTCAGTTCTAATGTCCAAAAATCAGATTGAAAGACTGACTCATCCTGGTTCTTCCTACTTCAATTTGAACCCATTTGAGGTTCTTCAGATAGATCCCAAAGTGACAGACGAAGAAATAAAAAAAGAGGTTTTGGCAATTATCCATACTGTTGTATCCTGACAAAAATCAAGATGATGCTGACAGAGCACAAAAGGCTTTTGAAGCTGTGGACAAAGCTAACAAGTTGCCACTGGATTGGGAACAAAAGAAGAGGGCCCTAGATGTAATTCAGGCAGGAAAAGAAGATGTGGAACGCACACCGTTAAAGAGTGAAAAAAGCAATTAAAGAAGGAAGGAAAGCCTACGAATGTGGAGGAGGATGACCCTGAGCTGTTCAAACAAGCAGTATACAAACAGACCATGCAACTCTTTGCTGAGCTTTCCTTTCCTTAAAAGGAAAGAGAGACAAGCCAAAGAGATGCATGAAAGGAAGCAACAACGGGAGGAAGAGACTGAAGCTCAAGCAAAAGCCAAATGAGAAAGGGAGTGGCAGAAAAATGTTTCAGCAAAGTCAAGATGTAGCGTGGACAGCTGGCGAAACTTCCAAGCAAATACAAAAGGAAAGAGAGAGAAGAGAAACCAGATCTTCCTGAGACCACCAACAGTAAAGATGGAGCAGCGTGAGTGACCGCCAAGGGTCGCGGCCACGGAACCTTCCCCAACTGTCTGCCTCCTGCTTTGAAGGACTCATTCTTTCCTCCCATTTTCACCCCAACATAGAGTAGTATTTGCTTTCTAGTCCATTTTGTTTTCAATACAGTAATACCGATCAGAGTAATTCTTTTGTACATTGAAATAAGGGGCTCCGTTTAAAAAGAAACCTCCCCCCAGCGCTTACCCCAGACCAACTGGGACTGGAAGGTGCTGCCTCCTCTTCCCACAGCCGGTAACTTCATGCTCTATATTTCACTTAAGTGTGATGGTTAGAAACGTCATGTGTCGTTTATGGAAATCATCCAATTAAACACACTGCTGACATTGGTGTTGCCGTGACTTCAGAGACATGCCTGGCCCACCCTAGGAAGCCCCTTCGCTTAGGAGGACCCTTGCTTCTGGGTGTGGCGTCCTTTGAAGCCCCAGATCAGAGCAGAAGGCAGCGGACACCCAGAGCAGTCACTGGACGCCCTGACGTCCCTGCAGTTTGGCATGTGCTTTCCCATCTGACTGGCCAACCCGCATGGCACAAGGCTCCAAGCCACCCACCCTGTTCACTCTCCAAAGAGCTAGCCGTCCTCCCTCCCATACCGTGGTATCCTTGCCTATCTGCATTTGTTAGTAGTAATATTCTGTATATGTAATAAATTTTTATACCCTAAAAAAAAGAATAGAGAGAATAACAGTACAAACATCATAGGGCTTTTGTATTAATTCATGAAATGAAGTTAATGCCTAGAAAGCACTTGGAACAGTTTCCAGCACACAGTAAATGCAACAGAAGTGTTTGCTGTTCTTATAACAATACTTATTTGCATATCTTTCCTTCTGTCCCATGTTAGCACCTTTAAAATAAGAGATTAGGTCTTAATCTTTGTGTCTCCAGGGCCTAACACTGTGACTGGCAAATAGGAGACATGAGGTGAATTAACGCCATGAATCAACTGGTAAACCAATTTTTATTTCACAAAAAAATGTGGAAACATAGATATTAAAAACAAGCCAAAGCATTATCCTATTTACAATCCACCTTGTTTAAAAATAACCTAAGGAAGTTCATGAACTACAGCCTGCCATTTCAAATATGTATGAAATATGAAATGAAAGAAGTTAAAATTAAGACTAGAATTGCATCGTCAGTACCACTAAAAGGTCAGTACCATAAAGGACTTCTTAAACATTATGTGGCTTAGATACATTGAGACTCTGAGAATTGGTATATTCTCACTCAAAGAGCCTGGAGGCTTGACTTTCGACCAGGATTCGTTACCATTTCTTCCACAGATCTTAGGTACCCAGGGAGGAGATGGAAAACCATAATGACAGAGTTCACCTACTTCATCTGTCACACTTCTGCAGTAGGAGAGTAGCGGAGTTGCTGGTGACAGAGGGAAGCAACTGAGGCATCCAAAAGAAAATGCAAATGATTGTGCCTACAAGCTCCAGTCACTCAAAAAGCCCTCAGGCCCTCTGAGTTGGGAGGTGCCTTCTCTCAGTCTCCAGTTACAAACAGCCAGTATTTAGGTTTCATCTTGGGTTTAACATTTCTACAGAACCCCTGATACGGGATCACAGCATAGCCCTATTTAAAATTAGCACCATGGGTACTCTAATACTGTAATATTCTGGTTCTTCTCAGATTATCTCTGACACTACTGAAAATGAATCTAGTCACACAACTAGGAGGACCTTCCTCTCTCACTGGTGCACGAACAGAAGCCATCTTATTCATTAAGATGGAATTTAGTGCAAGTCCATGTTAAAGAAAGTCTGGGAGTGGTAAGTGTTTCACAAAGGAAGAGAAATGTCTACCATATCCTCCTGGACAATCCAAGTATAAGTGAAGTCGCTCAGTCGTGTCTGACTCTTTGCGACCCCATGGGTCGCAGCCCACCAGGCTCCTTGGTCCATGGGATTTTCCAGGTATGAATACTGGAGTGGGTTGCCATTTCCTTCTCCAGGGCATCTTCCCAACCCAGGGATCGAACCCAGGTCTCCCTCATTGTAGGCAGACGCTTCACCGTCTGAGCTACCAGGGAAGCCCAAGTTTTAATCCAAGTAGAAACCTACATAAAAAGGATGAGGGTGAAGAGCTAGAGGAAAGTCTTTAGTAAACCAAGGTTGTGTCTACTTGCTGGTAGAGTTCCTCACTCCCTTCTACATTTCCCCTCAAGCCACAGAACAGGACACCTTCTAAGGAAGACTGAAACAAACTGACATATCTGGAGAGATATAAACTCAAGTGTGAACACAGAGAGAAGAAACAAATGACTAATGGACCTCCCTGGTCCACATGCTGAAAACTCTACTGATAATAACAAACTCAGATACAGGCACATGAGAAGATATCTGCTTTTCCACACAACTTCACAGCTAAAATGAAATCATTTCAAGCAGTAAATTCTATTCTCCTTTCCCATACAAGCCAGCATTAATATGTACAAAACACTCCCATCAGAGAAAGAGCATTAAGCAGATAACGCATAAAACATACAACATATCTTAATAGTGTGTTTTTCTATAATTATCAAAGCTTTTTCATTTACTTATTTTAAATGAAAAGATGAAAACTGAGGTTTCAATCTGACAGGGATTGCATCTGAGAATTAAAATGTCCATGGACATACCTCTTAACTCCTCATCTTTTAATTGCTGCATAAATGGTTGCCTAGGAAACTTCCCAACTGGATGAAGAAGCACAAGTGAACTCTCATTTCCAAGCTTGCAGGTATGACTCACTATTTTTGCTCCCACAAAGTAGGTCCTCCTGAATTCTTAGAGGTAGATATTTTTGCAACCTGGACAACAATTAAAAAAAGAATTATTATTATTTTGAATATATGTATTTAACAGGAATAAAAGTTAAGGGTGAGTCCCTATTCCCATCAGGTTTAGAAGAGAAATGTGTATTCTCAAAATAGGCCTGCACAATCCATACCAGGTAGTTATGGATGGTTATTTTTCTGGCAGTATGTTGACAAGACAGTAATTAAACATAATAATAAGAGAGAACAGAGAAAACATTGGAACAATACAACCACAGAGACATTTGTCAAAGAAGAATCTGGTCAGAGGGGTGTGACCCCGAAGATCTCTGAGACCTGCCCCAAGTTCAGGTTCCCTGATGATTCTTGCAAACCTAGCTACATCTGTGCCCAGAATGACACCATGACATCATTAAAAAGAGAAGAGAAAACACAGTGCAGATCGTTGCATGCCAAGGGGTAGTAACCTGGGGCAAGGGCACCTCTGAAGGTTCTATTTTAACAAACAGCAGATGTACTGAAGGAGGCTGAAGTAGTAGGTTCAGCCCGCACATTTCTGAGAAAGGACAGAATCTTACGTAATTACAGGGAATTAGGGCAGAAACGCAGAGAAGAGCCTCAGGGCCAAGGCCGGGTGCAGGTGATTCCCTGGTCGTGTCACTGCTTCTGATGTCTCGGGCAGAGATGGACCGGGCCTGCGGAAGGGAAGGGAGGGAAGACTGGGCCCACCACCCACGGGAATGGTCTCCACTCTCTTTCCTGAGCGCTCCCTCTAACATCTTTCCATCATCAACTTAACATCATCATCTTCTCTTTTACTGTGGCAAGAACAATTTTTATTCAAATTAAAAACCTAAAACTGACTCTTCTGGAGGAAAAGCTATTACTAATTACTAATTCCTAACTCCACCTCCCCCCTGTTGAACCTATTAAAGAAAATCTTCCCAGAACCTGGTCTGGAACAGAACCAAGTTGCCTATTGTGAAATTCACAACATCCTAGCGGAAAGACATCAACAACATTCCCGATAAAATGTTTTCTTTCCTATGCAATTTTTCGAGTGAACCTCGAGAAGATAAAGGTCTATTCTGGGGAACCCACTACCACGCACCCAGGTAGTTGTCAACTATCAGTTAAGAGTCTAGTCTAAGGATTTGCAACCAGACATGCTTTTCAGTGATGATTTAATCATTCTTCCTACTAAGAGTGATTCTGAACACCCCTACAGGGGCCTCTTTCCTCTCACTGCAAAACTGTTAGCAAAACGCTGGCATGTGCTCATAACTCAACTGTCTGAGGAGCTGTCTCTAACAAACACTAACCTCAAGCAGGTCCCAACACCCTGCAGTTCTAAGCATGTTCCTCAGTCTCTAGACTCTGAAGGCCTTTGAATAGGCAGCCATGTCCCCCAGGAGCACCTCGAGGGCCTGAGATGGCCCCTGGCTCTCGCTCCCCTTCCATGACCAAACCCCATCGTCTCCCCCACCTCCCAGCCTCCCAAACCTAGGTCATCTGTCAGTTTTTCCAGAATGTTCTGCCGTGAGTGTCTGGACTGCCAGCCCTACTGGGTGCTTTTGTAATCAAGAGCTGTTAGCACACTGCTTTCTATTTATTTCCCCAGACTGTAGGCTTATTGAAGACGGTGCTGGGCTTTTTTATTTCTGTATCCCCCACCTTATCAGGGGCTTCCTGGGTGGCGCTGGAAGTAAAGAACCCGCCTGCCAATGTAGAAGACATAAGAGATGCAGGTTTGATCCCTGGGTCAGAAAGATCCTCTGGAGGAGGGCATGGCAACCCACTCCAGTATTCTTGTCTGGGAAATCCCATGGACAGAGGTGCCTGGTGGGATATAGTCCACAGGGTCACAAAGATTCGGGCATGACTGAAGCGACTTAGCATGCACACCTAATCCCAGCCTGGCTCAAAATGGGCAACTAATGATTGTTGAATGAATGAATGTCGGAAGGAGATGAAGCTGGAAAAGAATTTACAGCAAGAGGTATTCCCTGTGCAGCTTCAAAACCATCCCTGAGATGCAAACTGGTTCTGGACTGAGGGGGACTGGGCTCCACCAGGCAGCCCATGAAGCCCTCTCGAGCAGACCCAGCTCAGAGCAGGCACACAAGGACCCTACAGACGGTTTCAAGTCTACTGGAGAGCACAGCCAGCCCAGCAGGAGGTGGTTCAAATGCATCACTCCCTTAAGTTTTGCCACCAGAGGAAAAGTAAAGGGGATTTTAGAGGAGAAGCAACATAAAAAGGAGGGAAATAAAAGATGGAAAGCAATGTCCAAAGACCCTCGCAGATGGGACTCTGCTAGGCACAGGAACAAAAAAGTTTAGTTTTTCATGAAAATATGTTATTTAAGTTTTTGAGGTATAAAGGCCTGCAGAAGCACCAGGAAAACTCAGGGGAAACTTTTTTAACTGCTGGTTGGCTTTCGGATGGGGCGGGAAGGACTTGCAAATGCCTTACAGGGAAGACAGCCTGTGTTCCCTGCCACCTCCCCCAATCTTTCATATCTCTAGAGCTCCCTTCCCAAGAATGAACCCCACCAAGGCCTGGGCATGGTGTGGGAGATAAGGCAGAGGACACTCAGGCACCACCTCCTGTGTACCTGCCAGGAGATACCCGTTCATGGAAGACAACTTCCATTCAGTACTCAAATCTGCAAGTGTGCATGAGAGTGGTGGGGTGGATGGCCGCCTCTTGTTTACTGCTGGGGTTTCACAGGTTCCTGGCAGGACAGGGTCAGGGAGTGAAAGGGGGTGCAAACACCATTTTGTCCTTGCAGAAGCCACGGCATCGCCCCCAGGGCCCGAGGAAGCACAGCACGGCACAGGTGGCCCACTCGAGGTCCTCTGACTGCCCTTGTCAGAGTATACTAATTCCCTGTGCTGTTTCATGGCTCTTCAGCTTGGCAATTTTCCCCCAAATGGCTCACCAGTTATTATCTTTCTGAAGATCATTTCCAGTCTTTAGAATCTGACCTGATGATAACTGCAGGACACATACCTGCCAGAACTGAGCAGTAAAAGGACGCCTGACCCTGCTTACCAAGGACAGGAGAGCCTGCAGCTAATTGGAGTAGGCCCGTGGGTGCAGCAGAAGGTAGCTGGGGGAGGGGGGGGCGGTGGGTGCCGCTCTCCTGTCTCCAAAAGTTCTGTAGGGTTTTCATTACTTAACTGCAGAAAAAAGAGCTGGTATAAACCCAGAGATCTTACACTTAATAGGCCTTTGACTGACCTGGGAACAAACTAATTTTTTCTCTTCATTTTATAAGGCTCAGCCTTTCTCACTCTTGCACATCTCTACTTAGAAAAGGGGATGAGTAATAGTAAAAACACCGTGGTGGTATGCCGACAGCACTCACACAACTGAGAGAGAGAATGCATGCCGTACGGCCCCCCATTCCACACACACACTACAGCTTCAAGAGGGACTTATTATAGAACCCGTGGGAATCCCCCCACATGAATCGAAGACTCTTTTGACTGGCTGAAAGTGGAACTGAGGGGCCAGGGAAAGGATTTCCCCTGCGGTTGATTAAAAACATTATTCTGTTTTTGAGCTGTCATACCGAGTGACCATGAAGTGAGCAAAATTCTTCTTAAAATGTACTTTTTGAACTTTCCCCTCTAGTACTGGATGTTAAGATGGACTTAAAGACAAAATCCTCTAACATGCTCAAAAAAACTTTTTAAATGAGTTCACAGTCATAAGAAGAGGGAACACAATGCTCTAATGTTCCGAAAATACACTTTAACCAGTGTACCTTAATGAAACGTGCACGCCTGTGGATGAAATTAAGTGTCTGCAAATGTGGACTTGCAAAATTGGTTATTTTCAGCATCACGAAGTTATTACAAAGTTTTTTGAAATGGTAGTTTCCCTAAGAGCACATACAATGATGATTTGATGAACAGAAACATAATTTTTATATATTTCATTTCGAGGACATTCCTATTATATGCCAAAACAATAAAACATTTTTCTTATTTCATTCTTCTTAAGAAATGGACTTGAAGGCAAAATGTAGTCATCTGAATTGAGCTCAAAGAACTAATCAAATAAAAAAGTTAACATTCATTGGAATTTCACCCCACAAACGACACAACAAGCAATCTGGAAATGTGAACTCCTAAGGTTCCAACGGAGTAGCCCATGTAGTACATGAATGTAACACACAGGACCCAAAGATTTTTAAATAAAACCAATAAAACAAACAAAGACTGGGAGAAACACTGTTTTGGGAAACATTCCTCCCACGACTTGACGAACTACTTCAAGTCCTTAGGGCCAGGCAACTTTTATTGATGCTTAAGGCTTTAAACATAAAGTACAAAAAACAATAGGCATGGTTTAAACACAGGGTCTTTCAAGGCTCAGTGGTAAAGAACCCACCTGCCAATGCAGGAGACTCAGAAGACCTGGGTTCAATCCCCAGGTTGAGAAGATCCCCTGGAGGAGGAAATGGCAACCCACTCCAGTATTCTTGCCTGGAGAATCCCATGGACAAGGAGTCTAGTGGGCTACAGTCCATGCAGTCACCAAGAGTCGGACACAACTGAGCGCATACGCCAGACAGATAAGACAATTAACAAACCTCTTACACTGGGACTATATTGTGCTTACTGACTTGCTTCCAAATAGTACAGTATCCTAACAGGGGAGGGGGGAGAATGCATTTCCAGTGGAAGAACTTGGCAGACACTACCCTGGTCAGGTGATCAAGGTCAGTACCATCACGTTACGATAACAGCATGTTCCCTGGACACAAGGTGGTAAGAATGTCACTTCACCTGTGTGGTCCTCCTCTCAGAACCCCGCAACTAGGCTAATAATCAGAAAAACAGGAGAGAAATCTGAACTGAGGGGCGGTCAACAAAACATCTGTCCAGTGTTCCTCAAAATTGACATCATCAAAAACAAGGCAAACCTAAGTAACTGTTACAGACCAGAGGAAATTAAGGAGACAAGACAAGATGTAATGTAATACCCTGGGTGGATCCTGAAACAGGAAAAGGACATTA